ACATGGCTGACATGTTTGGCCATGGAAAAAAATAAATTTTGAGGGGGATTTGCACTCGCAGTGCTTTGGACACCCACTGATGCTTGAGTGCTGCCCTCTGTTGCCTCCATTGACTGGGGGATGCAGTTAGCAGCGTCCGGAGATACTGGTTTCCTTTTCCTTGGTTGCAGTTGCTTATATCTACTGTCTAAAAAGGAACAAGCGTGTGGGACACTTTTGACCACAAAGTGGCACTAGTTGACTGGGGGGGGGGACAGTATGCCGATTAAGGTTCAGCTTACTTGGTCCCGATGGCCTTAATCGGTCCTCCGTAACAGTAGGAGCTAAGCAACTTCGTTTCATTTCCTCGCTTAGATCATGAGTCATGTTGACGCTAAGCGTATCCGGTTTGGCATGACGCTTAAAAATATCTATCAGCAGTATGGGTTACCTTCGAAAACGGCCTGACGTTTATCCTCCCTTAACGATGACTCTAACCGCGTTTAGTGTCCGATAACTATTGAAACCACTTCCACTTTAGGAATGCACGTACGTTTTTTCGATCACTCTCTATACATACCAGTTTGTTTTAGGATAGCCCTCCACAAACATTCACTCACGTGACACAGGGGTCCTCCGCAGCTACCACCTAACCCTCTTTTATTTGCGAAAGACGAACGAACATCCTCTTATCGCTCTGCGCATAAAGAAATTGACCGAGTATCACTATACTTTCCTACGAAGTGATACTTGTATCTGAAGGGAGCATGAATTGATTAATTTGGGCAGCAGCTTACTTGAGGTGTGTTGAAATCGACGCACAAATGTTTGATAGGTTGTGTCCTTTCTAACGCGGCTAAGTCGTGTACTGTTAAGCAATACTGGTCTTACTTAGATGACGCCCCGAGGCGGCTGGTCCAGGCCACCACACAAAGCCTTGAGGAAACTTATGGTAAACTTACATTAAACTGACTCATGTACCACTTAGATGATATTACTTCCAGGGTTGCGTCCCGTCACTCACCAGAAATCCAATGAAATGTGATTGCGTCATCTTCGTCATCTTGAATTCTGGCACTGGAATTGATCCCTTAAGTGATTTTTTGATGGATTAACTGGAGGCGACTGGATCCGACACATTTCAATGCACAAACTTTCGTTGAATTGCTGAAGTAACCTAATAACAGCGAATGTCAACTGACGTATTTGATGACAGCACAAACGTTTCCATAAGTGAACCGATGGTATTCTTATCTGGCACTCTGCAACTACGTGGCAGTAAACATTTGGCGCACCACGTACTATCACGTCATACATTGTTCTTCGACCAGTCAATAATGTTCGCGACAATAATCGCAGACGAAAACACCATGGCGAAACAACCACGCAACCGTTTCGGACCACAGCATTCCAAGGACCGCTTTAGGGGTAGCATATATAAGCACGTTACTAGCTTTTTGCAAGTAGTTTAACAGATACCTGTTTTTCACCGTGTGGACCCACCAGCAACGGGATGCTCAAGCCCCCCACATGCGCGATGAAACCCTGCAGGGTTGTCAATGTTATGAGCTATCATGTGAGTTAACTGAACCTAAATTTCGGAAGAATCAATTATGATGCTTCTCCGAACGATCACTGCTGGTTATTTAAGTCCACTGTCTGGTTTTGTGTTCCTACAAGCAATCTGGACTTGCGGTTTTGTGTCTGGCTAAACCTCCAGGAGACCCACACTATCACATTGGATGTGCTATTCATACAATTCTCATTGATGCGCCGTGCTATCCATCACCATTGGTGGTCGTCAGTGAAGATAATGGGTACAACACAGACCTAATCGGCTAACAGCGCGATCAAATCGCGGTCAATTCCGCTACAATTATACCGGATTAAGGTTGGAATCTGAGGTAGGTCTCCGGTGTGAATCACTATCAAATGGAGACAAATCATCTAACGCAGTGTCGCTTTAACAGTTCAGAACTGTTTTAGTTACACCATCCGCAGTGTTAACCAGTCCGCAGAAGTTAGGCCCTACTGCGGCGTCAAATGGATAGCTTTTCTCTGAAGCACCGGTTCTCAACCTGGAAGTAACTACTCTCAAAGGAGAATTTTACGGGAGGTAAATGTAAGTAGGAGGATTGGGTCACCAGTCAGTGGGCAAAACCAATTAACAACAAAATCATTTGTACCAAAGCATATACCTATCACTATTGATTAGTCATCAGTGACTAATCATTAGTGAGTGACCAGTGAATTAGACCACTTTTAGTGGTCAATGTTCGTGGGTGTCTGTCACAGAGGCGAAACGGCTGCAAATCGATCCCCGGGCGAAAAGCTACGAACACAATCAGGTTCGAAGGGTGTACAAGCTGACTCAATTCGGAAAGGGAGGTGACAGCTGGGCGAGAAAGCTGATTGCCAACGCTCGCGCGTTTGCCACCAATCGTGCTTGGGAAAGACCTTGCGAGCGTGTTACCAGGGCCCAGCCGAAAGCTGATGAAATCGCGCATCAGACAGCAGGCGTGTTGCCAAGGCCTGACCAGAAGCTGATGAAATCGCGCGTCAGACATCACGTGCGTTGCCATGCATCGGGTAGGCGGACGAAGACTGGAGTGCCCGAGCAAGACGGTGAACTGGACAGATGGAGCGGACAAGCATGTGTGGATCGTGGGCTTACAGCCAAATCCGCATGGTGATACCGACATATAAATATAAGCGTTCTCTGCCCTAATAGAACTCTGGTCTGCTGAGTCTTCTTCTGTCTTCCTTCCGGTCGGGTTTGCCAAGGCGTCAAACAGAGCACGCGTAAGGGCGCAGATTTAGCAGCAGGCGTGAATCAACCGGTCGATTGCAGGGCAGCGTTATAACAGTGCCTGTACAAATGGAGCACCAGTCATGTTGGGAGTTCGTTCCGGACTCCAAACATTAGTCAAACAACTTGGTCCACACGCTACCTTTAACCATTGCAGTATGCATCTTTATGCTTTTAACAGCGAAACTCTTCCACCTGCTTTGCTGGACGCAATTACCCTGGTAGTGCAAATTGTACATCCGATTCGTGGTAGTGCAACAACTACAAGTTTTCAAAGAGCAGTGCAATGAATTTAGAGGTAAATTCGACGTGCTGTTATTCTACACAGACGTAGGCTAGTTTTCACGTGGCATGGTGTTGAACCGAGTGCTTGAGCTTCAAAAAGTAATTACTGTATTACTGGTGAGCAGGGAGGGTTTGGGTATAATTCAGTTAAATCACCGTTGCCACTCTCACTCAGCAGGATTAGGCTAGTCTGAAAAAGCACCAGACGCCGGCGTTTCGACTTACTGGGTGTCGTCAGTAATGCGCCTCCCAGCGGACCCCTACCGGGTTCCGCCCCCATGACTTCTGCATGCCAGCAGCTGGTGCCGCGGACCTGCGTGATTGACAGTTGACTATAATATTGCCCGGCTCATCTTCCAGTGCCATGCCAGTTACGAAGTGTGCAAAGGACAGTGGCTAGCCTCACAATCTAGGACTTTCCGCATAGCACCTCGGCACGGCACGAAGACTTGAAACGCCGGCGTCTGGTGCTTTTCCAGACTAGCCTAAGCCTGCTGATTGATAGTGGCAAACATGCATTAGCTGAAGTAATTGCTGTGTTTCAATAAAAATGTTCCGTAAGGGCGTCTTTTTATTTGAATGATCGAAGACAATTAAACATAGTATTCATTTTTCTTTATGTTTGGCAAATATCCTATAGTTGTTAGTTAATTAGCTTTTTAAACTAAAAGTTGGGGTGGATAATTGCTTTTAGTCAACCCGCTTTGCGCGTAACGCAATAGAGCTAACTGACTACTCATATAAGGTGGCCGCCGGTAAATGATTGCTGCCGCGGGCTCGGTTTTATTTCTCACAGTTATACAGTGCTATTTAAGGCATATGTTTGCTGTCTAATTGAATCTGCTTGCAATGTACCTCCGCAAAATACCCGAAATCCCTCACCGCTGATGCCTTCGCAGTCGAGGTCATGTTTAAAGAGGGTAAGAAACAGCGCGTAAGCGATGGGTGCATTTACTAGGGAGAACAAGTGAACCGCTCGGCACCATTATTTCACACACCAAACCCCGGTAATTGAGCCACCTGTTACGCAAGTCAGCGCACCGACTCCCACGAGGTGTGTTATTTGCGTGACTTTGGTTTATATGAAAAAAGAGCAAGGGAGCGGCCCGTCGGTGACTTGCTCAAGTGGGATAAAGTCTCTCATCTCGAACTTGTCCTCAGTTGGTGTTTTCCGACTGTAAGCAACAAATTCGCCTGGGACTTGAACGACTCGCAAAACGCCCGGGTCAAACCAAACCAAAACCGAAGTTAACTGCGGTACTATTAAGATGGATATCGAAATACAATACGGATATACCTCAACGACACCCGTTCAATACGGAAACAACCGAGACTTTACAAGATAAATAAAGAAAACAAGGAAAGTGCAGACCACTGAACTTGCAGTTGTACTGCCAGATAACAAAACCAAGCGTCTGTGAACCGAATCACACGGCTCTAGTATTGGATCTTATAATCCTATCCGATTGGTTCGCTGTACAGTGCATGGATGGATACAGCGCATGTTAATTTTAGCGCTTACACTGGATACTATGTTAGGGTCCGAAAAGGGATGAACGCGTTTCTTTAGCGATACTTATTGGCAAGGAGCTGACCTCAATGGCGTTTTCGTCGTGTGTCTATGTCCACCCTCCTGCCCATTGGTCGCTTTCTCTCTCTCTCGATGCATAATCTGAAACAAATATTATATTGTTCATGGTGTTTTCCCATGTTTTTATTCCTTTTACATTTTTTCAGCCAACTAACTGGCTTGTATTACGGCACAATGGCTGTATTTCTCAAACTAGGGTCACCTGTAGAATTATCACAATGATGAAAATCTCCAAATCACTCTACAATGGGTTATTATCTGTGCGATTCATCCATCTATCCAACCTAAGTTTGCGGTTGGAAGAATTGTTTCAGTGATTCCCCCATCCTCCTCCAGGTGATCGAGACGAATTTGCGCGCGGAACTTCCTTTCCTAGTTGCGGAACAAATTCTGATCACCATGGTCTCCGAAGCTGGCGCAAATAGACAGGAGGTTCACGAACGCATTCGATGTCACAGCCAAGCCGCGGCGGTGGAGGTGAAGTTGATGGGGAATCCGAACGACTTGGTGGATCGACTCAAGCGGGATGACTACTTCGCGCCGATACACCACCTACTGGACGATCTCTTAGATCCACAAAAGTACATTGGTCGGGCTGCTGAGCAGGTCAGTTTTTGATTCAAATTTTCCGTACCCGTAATCACCATCTTGCTGCTACTTTCCCGACAATTCCTCTCTCGGATCACACGCCATGGTTAATTTACAAGCCAGGAGCGATGTAACCTGTGACAAACGGATCCACTGAGCCTCGGTGTCGGGATCCTATTTGTTCAACTGAACTGAACGGTTTGGTACCTTATTCATCTGAAATGCGCGTTGTAAGCGTCTTTGTAGTGTCCAAGCGTACCCTAAAGCCCTGCTGCATTTTAGATTGCTCACCTTCCAATTTTGCACCCACTTGGCTTACCGTCGTTCTTAACATAAGAAATTACTGTGCGTGTCTCGCAGTCGACGACGTCGATGGCGCGTATGCATTAATTTCCTAATCAGATTTCCGCATACATTACGTTTGACGCTGAGCTACCTGCGGATTAAAGTTGATTATTACTCGGGACATTGAAGGTGTAGAAACGCTGTCTCACGAATGTCGTCTCATCTCCGCATAACACCCGACTGTGCGTGTGACCCTCCAGCGTTGATCCTGCGCCTGTAATCAGGGTGTTTACTTCCTGTACCGTTATGAATTGTGAGAATGCCATTGGTTTTCTGTTCATTTACTCTCTATTCTTCTTTAGCGGTAGTACGATAGCGAAACACCACTTTAGGTCATCTGGTATTGCAACACCGCGGTCGATTTCCCAGCCGTTACATTCGTCAATTAGATGGATGCGGAACTGTAAGTCGAGCCCGGGACTACCAGCCGAAGCCTTTCCCCCCTGCGCTATCGAGGCCCAGCTAGCTGCTGTCACACCGCGGTGTGTGTGTGTGGCTTTATTGGAAGTACCCGTTGTGTAAATGAATTGCGATTCGCGATCTTGGCCGGGATAGCGATTCACTTGTCATTAGAGACATCAGCAGTACACCGGTACACACTACCGACGTTTCGCTGCTGCGCAACCACCACCAGTTGCACACGGGCTAAGGATACTGCGAGGGTAGCCTTGTCCCTACACAGGCTCGAACCCACGCCCTCAGATTCTAATGCAGGCTTGTGACCCTTAAGGCTACGAGCCGGCTACTGGTCATTAGAACAGTCACAATTCGTCCACATAACTGGGGTTTCAAACGAATCAGAAAACCGGTTCAAAGTGGACGGATGTCAATTGCTGCTCGCTCGGAACACTGCACTCCCCGATCGGATTCAAATTTTGTGTGCACGCAACTGCAACTCGGACCCTCAATGCAGTTTGAAATATCTATCCCGAAGCTAGTTCAAGTTGTTTAAAAATTCCGTGGGGGTTCCTCTAAATACTTGCAGTCACTATTCGCACCCAACAACCCGTTTACATTTGTTCCAAATGCTTCTTACATTGTCAAACCTCAAACATTGTGAATTCATCTCGTCAACACACACTCCTAGTGGCGTGTTTCAAATTCGGGGCATTTATACAGTTCACTTAATCTACTGACAATACAACCGTCAGTCACCTAACACGCTTTCTACCCAACCATTTTCCGCCCTGGTTGTGCATCCAACCTGAATTACGTAGGTAGCATCACGCTTCGTACACAACGTCCCTAGTTGCACCTACGCTCACTGCCACCACATTAGGTCTGCCATGCGTACACAATTGGTGGGAACAACACGGCGTTACAGCGGAGGCAGCGATAGACGGAGTGATGTTTGATGTTAGAACGTAGAGTGTATATCCAGAGCTAATCACACCGCTTTCAGCTGCTACTCGTGAGGTCTTAGCGAAAATTCTCCTCGACTTTACAGTGTTGATGTACTACGGTGATAATGCACTTGCTCCCGTATAATTGAGTGTTAATTACCTGACCTCTAGAGCATTTGTGACGTAAACTCGTCGACCACGTGAAATGGCACTTCAGTTTGTCTACACAATGTCTCTTCACTTCACACGGGGGAGGGTGTACGTAACCACTCACCGTAGTAAGCACAAGGTATTAGTATCTGGAGAGAGCATACCAGCTCGCACCTTGCTCTCAAACCAGGTCACACACACACACACACGCGCGAATCCATCTAGCAACTGTCACGTTCCTATGGATGCGTGCGTGCGTGCGTGCGTGCACTACTTTCTGCACAATCGGAATGCACAGCAAAACACCGGTACGTACTTTACGACAACCTGCACACCTGACAAAGGACAATCGCACGTTCACTTCGTTTGCTTAGCGCAGCGGACAGTGTGTGAAGTGGACTACCTATCAGCCATTGATGCCAATGCTCAACGAGTCAAGGCGTATGGCGCCAAGGTACGAGTGTTGAAGACGTAATTGCGTTCAGTTCGACAACTGTAGTCGTGGAACCTCGATTCCTGCCATCATGATGACAGCAATTGACGGCAATGGATGAACGATAGAGCGTAAAGAACAACGACAAAACAATATGAAGAGGATGGTTTTGTGATGTTCGTATCTCCTGGACAGTAGTAACAAAAATTCAACTACGGCGTGTTGAGTACCAACAATGAACACTGATGTGGCCAATACTAAAACATCCGGCCAACAAGGCGACCCGATAAAAGCGATCGCTTTTCTTTGGACATGCGCGTTCTCTGAACGTTGTTCTTAACTGATGGGCCCACCGAGTGAAAGTTGTCTTGAAACCGATCTATCGGTGTTTCGCAACTCTAGATCTCCATATTTCCCGCCCAATCGTTTATGACGGTTGGATTACGTTGCTCGTATTACTGTTGGCCTCTGATTTCGATGCGTTCGTTGATATCGAAGACCTGAAGCGTTACAGTCAGCTGGTTGCTTGCTGTAAGCGTGTGAGGAGCTTGATGAAGGAAGGGATTTGCGGCGTTCTCACGTTCGTCCTTCGACTTCTCACTACTTATGCCTCACCACAACAATTTGAGCGTCCATATTGTTTCAGATTTTTTCCATGTCTCCTTCTTCTAGTATCTTAACTTTTCGTCTATAAAAGTTAGGTCGGTCATAGTTTGATCGACTTCACCAGCGAACTGACCACTAACCCCACCGTTTTCTAGGCCGACAAAACACCGGTATATCGTACTACCAGAGGTGTGGTTGATTTGAGTGGACTCCAGACAGCACTCATTCCTTCAGAGAATGTTTGTAACCCACGTACACACCTATGGCTGGGCACTAAATCGAGACAAGATGCCCTTCAGTAGGTGACTTCTCTTGTTTTTCTTTGCAGTTAACTTTAATCCAAACACCAAACAAATATACCAATCGAACAAGCTGCCACAGTGGCACTCACATCGTTGACAATCCGATCAGTAGCAGGGTGGTGATTCATGCGTCCGACTTGTAGTCCACGAGTGGTCGTGTGGATCTGGACGACATCGGAGCACCTGTGACGATCACGTCGCAGTGAAGCGTCGATACGAGACTCCGTGTACTACCGTAGTGATTCCCAGTTGACTACGTGTCGTGTCTCTCAGAAGCTTAGGTCGTGCAACTCTTGGTTTCACTGTTATGACCGACCCACTCTCCGTCTCAAGCTTCCCGGTGTTGATTGGTCTTCGCCACGGCATATTTCAATCATTCAGTGGTGTATGTGCGCGCGTATCACGTGCACAGGTTTCCACAAGTCATTCAGTTTTTTCTGGTTACAACATTCGATGGCGATCGACCATCAGAAAACGCCTGATACGATGTTTTTATTTCGAGAAGTAAGCCCTAAGAGAGGATGGCCCGCATTCCGCCTTCGTTCTGGGCTAGCAAGTCTCCGACGCCACGAATTGATGACAGTCACCCTGCTTAGTTTCAATAATCTCTCATACGAAAGCACGATTACTCATATAGGTTGACCGCCAATGCTCCTTTTTGAAGGCACCTTTAGGTCCATGGCACTCTGATGACACGTCAGTGGACGGGGCCATCTTATAGTTCTTTGCGAGGTGAGATGACGCCTCGCTTAGACAGCTAGCTGCGCTTCCTCGTCTACCAGCAGTTATGAATTCACATGATCGAGCACTGCAGCGATCCAACGTTTTCCATACGTGAACGACGATTCGTTGCATGTGCTTTCAAATACAAGTAACCCCTCCCATAAGAGATACTGTATATCAGATGTAGTTTATTGCCCCACAATTCGAGGTACAGCCAGATGGTATTCTCCGATTTTGCTACGGTAACAGAGTAATGAAAGGTAAAACTTGAACGATTATTTACACACCACATGCCTTTACAGGCGTGCCTCGCGTTGCCGAGCATAAACTATTTACAACGGTTGCGTTTACATCCAGTGTCTTAGACACGTAGTTGCACAATGAGTAGATTACATATTGCAACATAATGCTACTCTGACGTTGGTTCACGTGGCCTATAGAATGAGTCTTCGCTGATTGTTAAAAATCTGAACAATAAACAAACATCTTGCACCACTTGCCTGCTGATAGTATTTTCTTTTTTCCGCTTTGCCCATCCGGGGATAGGTTGAGCAGTTTATCGAGTCCGAAGTGGATCCGGAAATTTCCCGTTATCAGGGCACTTTGGAGGCGAGCAGCGTCGTAGAGCTGTGATCGAACGAATATTGCTGTCGCCCGCGTTTTGCCTACTCTACTCTACTCTCGCATTGGAAAGTCGATTCCTCACCCTCAGATTGTGCGTCGCCACTGGCGGCGACCACATGCTCTCGTGCGTTGCAAAACCGGGGGATCGATTCGCTGTTGTTTGCATACAAGAACACACCCGATGGGCGTGGCCTCTTCTGTCCACTAGTCTTGCTTTCGTATTTTCAACTTATCAACCAAATTTAGGATGTTCTGACCACGAAATTCTCACACATCGCACTTATGTTTTTTTTGCCGTTTGGTATGCATTTTGATTCCAAATGTGAACGCTTTATACAACACAAAACTGGCAAATCGGAGTGGAAATGACACACCTTGCTTGATGCTTTTGTTTTACAAATGCACTTTCTACATCAAATTATGATATTTGCAGTGTCGCACATGTATCAACTGCTTTGATAATACATGTGACCCCGTTGATATCACCGCCCCTGATTCACGCATAAAATGTACTATTTCTACTGGAGGTTATTTTTATACAGAAAAAATATACCATCAAGGGTCAAGACTTGGTCCTCTCCATGCAGAGTCCATGGTCGCAGTCCTTTCGCAACATTGTGATTACCTCATAGGACACAATTAGTGCACAACAACATACCCCGTGAGTGACATTGCTATGCCCTCCATTCGTCGCGCTCGCGCGCGCGCGTACACCACCACCGGCAGACAATCGCGTTATGGCAGGTGCTCCTCCATGTTCGGTGTGACCCCTAGCTATCTATAAAATCAAGGAAGCGAGTTTGGAACAGTGCGTTTTTTCATCCGACTACGAACTGCACCTGACGTGGAACAAGTGTTGAGCCGCCGAGAGCAGCAGCAGGTTCACATAGAGGCAATCAAACAGCCCGCACTGCGTACATCGATAAAGCAATGACACCTGCGCGAATCGAGTCGCTCCTCATTGTGGCTCTTTCGGCCGCTCCATTGATTTCTGCGTTGGTCAGCTGAATTAATTACATCGGAGACCAAACACTGCCAAGCTTTGGGGGGGGGGAGGGGCACATAAGGTTTTATCTTGGTCAAACCATCTAAAAGAAACGTTCCAAGTCCGGAGGTTGTCGTTCTACGCTCCACGCCTGCAGTCTTCGTCTGTCCCCGGTGATTTGATACTGCGCTTTGTCAATGCTTATGCTCTTCTACAGTGAACGTCATCATCATCATCATCATACACGTTAGCTAGAGGTGGGGAACACCTCAGCTACTGTGCCGCAATACACAGAAAAACGGAGAAAAAATTCAACTGTTGCAAGCCGGCTGAGCTACCGGTAACGGATGGGAATCGTTGCAGTAAGCTACCAGCCGGCTACTGTGCATCAAAAAAATTACTGTGCAGAATTATCTAAGGCTAAATAATGAGATCGTGATTGGGGGGGGAGGCTAAGAGGGATGGGGTGGGATCAAGCAACTCACAGCACGAACGCCACTGAGGTCGGCTCCTTGCCATGTCAGCAAGTGTGTCCAACCAAACATGTTCATCGTCTTTCGGACCCCAACCAAGGAGCCGATTCGCTGCAACCGAGGCCAGCTCAGAAGTGAGGGCCTTCATTCCTCTCGACCAAGTCATTGCTTGGCCACCCCTCCTCTTCTTCCATCCACACCCCAGGCGCGCAAACAATGCACGTCGCGGGAGTCGGTGGGTTGGCATGCGTAACACGTGGCCGAACCATCACAGCCTGGTGTGTGAAATGACGGTACTGAACGATTCAGTTCCTCTTCCTGTGCCGTAAACAAGGCGTCGAATACGCTCGTTGTTCACGCGGTGTTCCCACCAGATGTGAGCTAAATTACGAAGACACCGGTGGTAGAACGTAACTAGCCTCTTGAGGTCCGCTGCTTTAAGCGGCCAGGTTTCACAACCGTACAGTAGGGTCGAACGTACCACTGCATTGTACACTCTACCCTTCAGGGCAAGCGTGATGTCGCGCCGGCGCCATAAGTGGCGAAGGTTAGCAAAAATGCCCCGAGCTTTTGCTATACGGTTCGTGATTTAATCTTCAATCCCACGGGCGCTGATACAACTTCCCAGGTAGTTGAATTTTTGAACGACTTCTAGCTGATCCCCACCAAGGGTGAGCGTAGGAGGCGGTCCAGACCAATCTTGGAGAAACGCTTTGCACTTCGAGGGTGCGAAGCAAAGCCCGAAGTGACGGAGAGCTAATGCTAATCTGTCCAGTGCCGCTTCGCACGTTTGTGAGCTGTCACAGATTAGGGCAATATCATCAGCATACAGTGGACGTACTGCTCACCAGTAGTTTTTACCGGTCTATTGGGCGAGGACTTTAGATTAATCTCCAGATTGTCAAAATAATTGTCGAGATGCAGCGGTGTATCGAAGCTAACATTCGCTGATGTACTTGGATCCACTCATGCTGATTTTTGCAATCAGCAGTACTTGCCCACACAAGTCACCCGGCTTCCATAGTGTATGTATGTCTGCGTGTCAACCTCGTGAACAAGACAGAAGTACCAGTCCATATATGCCGGTACGTGGGTGTATCGTATGCCACTCATCCCCTATCTAGCGCGATTTTTGCTAGACCAAAACAAAGTTGTCCAAGAATTAACAAATCGGTTTATTAATCTTTTTAAATTATCGTTCCACTTTTTGAATTTCATGCTGTATCGCTGAAAGCTTGTGTTACGGCTGAATATTCAACCGTTCTGGATGCATAAAGCACTTTCATGACTTTACTCTCAAGTCCAACGCTTCCTTACACGATATGTAAGTATTTGGGATTCCAAGATGTGGACATCTCAATGCGCAATGTTTGTTTAGGGTACTTATGTGCAACATTATGTCATCTCCCATTCATCTTGTTCCTAATTCAGCAGTATTAACTGAGAAGTTTTGTCCGACTGATGGCTGAGCACCAGTACAAAGAGCTAATGTATTGCGTCAGTCGACAATGAGGATGCTACTCGCATCGGATTATGTGTAGCAAAGCAGTTTATTAAGTTGGAGACACGTGAATTGGGTGACCGTTGCTATTTCAGTAATAAAAGCGCCAATTAGGTCAAACATTGTAGGTTCCACTTCGACACAGGATGCAGTAACCGTCTGGAACAAACGATTGTGTTTCCGTGTCTTGAATGCTATTCACATCCGGCATTGCACCTCATGTTCGCCCTTCTTTAGAGATGAGAACCACCGCGCTAGTGACCTCGTGGTTGCTAGCCAACAGTTCAACCACTGGGCTATCAATATGCGCGGGCGGCGCCCACTGTTAACTGAACAGTGATAAAGCAGACCGAGCCGCTCGACCGGATTTGCTTATCACCAGATAGATTGTCTCCGCAATCCATCATATGTCTAGTCCACACTAGGGAATAAAACCTGGAATTCTGCAGATGACCACTACAGGGCAATATCCAGGCCGTAACATACTTTTTGGTCTTAGTGCTGCCACAAACACAGTGTGCTCAATCTGCCCTCGCGCAATGACCACCCGTCGAAGTGATGGTCTCTGCGGTAGGCGTCTTTTAAGCGCTCACATTCTGCGTAGCTATAACCGACAAACCGCATTTGGGGTAAGCAGTTACCATGCAACACGCTCATCGGTACCAGTACCGCCCAAGTGCAGCAATATCCGCGCACACGGAGTTTGTGGCACTGTACATACTGGAGTCAATAGGAGAGACACCAAACATAAGTCCCGATGGCCCTGGTATCGTAGAGTTGCAAAATGGTATTATTGAATCGGACTAGCTATGAGAGTGATGACGAGGGACAGAGCGTAGCTTCTCGCTCTTCAATGAGGTGGACGTATTTTCGCATCATGCTAAACGCTATAGTGCTGCTTCGCATGCCGTTTATTATGCGCAAGCTTTTCGATGGAGAACATGTCACAACGAAGCTCCATCCCGCACAGAGCCGAAGTCGGCTATTTACGATGCGGTTGTCCGTCTAGTTGCATTGACTGGAACGAACGATCATTGGAATCAAACACGTCGAAACGTGTTTCAACCTGAGTTATGTCGTTGGGCCGGTGTGCAAGTTGACACTGTCGCCTATCGATCTCAGTCCACAGCAGCTGGATACGCGGTGATGCGGAAAAACCTTCCTGAAAACATGCGTTGTGTCTGCAAATGTACCGTCACATGTGTTTGTGCTTCTCCTGGATTGAACAAAATGCGGTCGCAAGACGAACTTTTAAGCATCAGAAACCGTGCGGTAATTACCGAGATCCCAACAGACAATGCTTGCTCAGCAACAAAAATATATCCATGGAATTTTTCAGTGTAAACCTCTGGGAGTTCAGTGCGGAGCGTGTTCCATGTCAGCCAATACAACTCCCCCTCATGGAACGCATCACACGAAGTCCCTCCCATTTTGAAGGGACAAGCATTAAGTCGTAAAGTGACAAAAACGCGAGTCTTCCGTTCCCGATCGCATTAAGCGCAGTCCCAACCTGATTAACTTGGTCTTGCGCGGAATCTTTGTAATGGACTAATGAAAACGGGCATACTTTCCTTGTTCCAACACACCAACCGCCTAGATCTGGTGATTGGAATGGGAATAAGGCTTTTCATCGGGCCACTACAAAGTCGTCTTAAAAATACTCAGAAATGGTTGTGATATCGTGTTTCACTACAACAACATATGCTCTAATAAACAGACTTGGGGTAGAGGTTCCGTTGATAGCTGCTATCTATACTTCGGTCGATGACCGAAAGGATTGCATGTCTGAACATGTAGAAAGCGGTTAGTACCTTCGATGACTTCGGCTTACCTTAGTAAGATCTGAACCGCCTCTGCAGATGTCGATCTGCCGGTTAACCCAGTGAAGTCCGTATTCATGAGTCTGGGGAGGGGCGGTGACGGCTGGATCTACACCAATGACGGCCACTTGCTACATCTCACATCTGTGAATGATCTAGGTGTACTCTCACGCTGGGATTTGCAGTCTGTGAACAACACGAGCACTACCTCGGACATCCCGTAACGTCGATGGACCAAAAATGTCAACGGGCTACGCCACTTATTATACAAACAACACCTAAGAGTGTTAGGCATTTTCAGTGGACGCTATCGGCGTTTGTGGGGTGATCTTATCATGGTTTAGCAAATCCTATACAACCCTAATCACCCATGCTATCACCTATTGAATCTGAGTCACAACAACAGACTGAGAAACCATCATCTCGCTGCGTGTTTGCCACACATGGAATTTCTTCTCAGAAGCTGCAATTTCAGCCCCCACATTAGCCGTTTTCAAAGCTCGTGTCCACAATGCACTAGCCGTACTACACATGTCACGTAGACCAAACAACTTACACAAACAGCAGAAAAACGAAAACAAATCAACCTACCTCCATTTCTGCCTGGAAACGACAGACGATGACCTTTGATAATCCACAAAACGAAGTGTGTACCGCTCAGACAGGGGACACTGTGACCGGCAAGTTGGTAATTTGCGGTTAATCACTATCTCTAGTGTTGCAATTTTTTGCCTTCATTTTGTGCACCTCTAACCGAACATCCGGCTCGACATGTCAAGTTTCGGGCTTTTTCTCTCCGCACTATGTACCATTGACCATTGAGGCCATATCGTAACGGTCTGCGCATGTTGGGGTTGCGCAAACACAGCTTCTGCATCTGACCTGGGAAGATTGCCACTGCCAGAGTACGGTTCTCTTGCCAACTGCCCAACCACGTGCGGCGAGGCACAACAGATCGCACGGGTCTAACACGTTGCTGCCAGGCTCATTCCCAGTTCACGGGGTTTACCATACAAAGACAGATGCGAGAGACAGGAGTGTACACCCAGGCTGCCATGTAATGCGAGTCAATCCTCATCATGACCTACCGCAATCTGCTTCTAAATGTCTTCCCCATGCTGAGGTCATTGATCCACTTACGAACTCCGTGCAGCACATGTGGACACCGACACACGAATTTGTGGTACCACATCTGAACGGGTAGTAAATGTTTGGAACAATTTACCGCACCGTATAATGGAAGAAAATTCTGTGCAAAAGCTCAAAATATTAGATTTCGTGAAGAATACCTCACTGACAATGTTATCTCACATTTGTGAGTCTTAAAAGTTACCGTGAGTTATAAGTATTTTTACGATATAACGTGAACACAGGTCATGGATAGTTTTTTGAACCTTTTTGATAATATTTCGACAGAGTTGTACAAATTTAAACTTCGACCCACTACCATAATATAGTATTCATATCTGGTTACTACTAAGCACCTCTCGGGCTGGCTTGTCGAACAACTTCCTCGTGGTGCCAGCTGGGTGGTTCGGGATTTTCCCGTTCCAGCAAATGGTTCGGCGGCAGTGTTCCAGGACGTGGTGGGTTTTCGCCTGGCAAGCGTTCTCCCTATAAAAAACCACCTATATCCGTTTAACAACACTGTGACCTGGCGGACGTGACTCGCCACTAAATAAAGGCACTGCCCTTTGCTTCATCCCGGCGAAGCATTGTATTCCAGCAAATTTGTGCTATAATTCTGGGGAGCATTGGGCTCCTGATTGACAAAGGAACAAACGAAAGGCGTATGAACTGAGCAATCAGTCACCGGCTCCCAATGGGCGCGATTCCCTGAATTCGCTCCGGTGCCTTGCAGGCAGGCTATTCAGCCAAAGGCTCAGGGTGGTGTCTCCTAAGTTAACACCCTACTTCAGCTTGGGCCACTGGGTAGTATCTCGCCCTCTGACGAAACCATGGACATGGTTGTGTTGTTTTTTTACTATTTCTGTACCTTCTTTTGAATCCCATGGTTTCTGATGGCTTTATGTCTATTCGTAGACTATTGCAAATATATATAAGTACCTCTCGCCACATGGCACAATTCTTAGTTTGGGTTGCGCATTGTGTGACACATCTGTGGAAAATTTTACAATACCAGGATCCATTTCGTGATGAAAACCTATCAGCACGAGAAACGACCAACTAACACACGGCCAGATGTTTGGGGGACATAGGGAAAGGGAATCGAGTGAGGAAATAAAAATCTTGTATCCATCTGCCAAATACTCAGTTGCATAGGAACGTGGGAAAACAGGTCGAAGAAAGTCGGCGGGTTCGCCATGGTTAGTCACAAAAAAGGACAAACTATGTGTCTCACTGACAACAACAACTCGAGTGTGATAGAAAAAATAGAAAAGTGTGAAGAGTGCAATAGTGACCTGGAGCGCGGGTGGGGGGGGGGGACTACAGATATCATGGACTGGGACATAAACACTGCGATCATGTAGTGTTTCCTGCAACTGCTTGTCTGGAGGTCGACTACTGCTTGGCAAATGGGTCTGTTGGTGGTACTGAACACTTGACGCCTTCTGTTGACGCTTCTGCGACTGGACGACTTTGGCGGTACACGGCGATCACATAGAGGATAGCGCCGGCGGCACTGTGGACAGAGTGATCAAAGTGAGCGTTGCATGGCTGTTGACATCACACTTATATCAAGAAATGGGACAATTCTGAATGGATGCGAGGCTAATGATGCTCGTTACGAAGTGGGTTGCAGTTATCGCGGAAGCAAAACGGCCACTGTACAGGCACTTATTTACACCAAAATGTTGTGTGGATACTGGATAAGAAGCAACAATGCCTTTTTATCGAATAATCAACAAATGCATATGGGCAAACGTTGGACGCAACCAGAACTCGCCAAAGTCCAACCAAACGAAATAGTGGGGTAATCACGTACCTGATCGTAACTCCGATAAAGTTCATCGGGGTGTAGATGTAATCGCCACCAACAAACATTCCTGCATAGGTGACGAGGACATTCTTGATTTATGGGGAGGAAAAGAGTGTAAAATCAGATAAACTACAGAAATGTTTCTAAAAAAAGTAACAGTAAGCACCGGCGCCAAGTTAATCGTATCACATAGCAATGCGACGATACAAGGAAAATGTGAAATATAGTTGGCGGGAGAGATGTTATACTCGTGTACATGGGATGAAGACACTTATGTCGCAGCTAAGCATTTGGTTAGGTCACCTTTTTAGTCATATGCCTATGCTTACACTGAGTGGGCGCTCTGTTAAACGGTCAAGGACAAGGAAAAAGACAGCGTCGGGTGAGTGCAGTTCGAATGGGCGTCCCGGTGTGGCGCGCAGTAGAAAAGCCCCAATGGCACCTTTGTGTATTTCTTTTGACTAATCAAAGATGTTATCGCTGTGATACAACATGGCGACACGCTTTCCATGTTGCTGCTGAGCATAAAGAGATTTTAAGTGTATGGGGGGCCATAGTTCAGAAGACGGGGGTCGTCCTGCATCGCAGTGAAATGCAACCCACTGGAAAGCGAGTGCATCATATCACAGTGAGAAGAAAACGCTATCCATGTGAGCAGTGGCTACGTACAGTGTTCTGCGCGCGAATCGGAAGACATCGGCGAATGACAAACAACGTACGTTTTAAGGCTCTCTGAAGGTGCACATTCATGTGCGAACCAGCCAATGTGGCGATAACTACCTGTCTAAGAGAACCTCGGGGGGGGGGGGGAGACTACTAGGTTTGTTGGAAGTTGGTGTTCTGCACTGTCCCACCTCACCCTGGGTATAGGCAGAGGCGTAGCATGGTGGGGAGGGTGGCATTTTTTAGCACCGTTGAGTATTCGATACCAAATATCAAGGACACAATTTCCAGGAAAGTTGAGGTTTGAATATTACCCTTTATGACCAACAACAAGTTTGCGCCATGTGTCGCATCTGTGCAAACGCTCTACCCAGCGATCTTCTTACTTATGCTATTGTCACTATCATCCAATTTACCTCAGTGTTCCAAATGATCATTCATTTCATCGAAACCTAATGTGCACTGTACCCTGAGTCAGTTGTGCCACACGCCTAATCCGCCCTTTAGTTAGGGCGAGAATTTTGTCACCGCCCCGGGCAGTGAAAACGGGTTGCTACACCACTGGGGGTAGGTTCAATCAAGAAACCGGTTGCACCCGGAGGAGATTGATTTGTCTGAGTCGAACCCGCATACCATGCAAGCACTTCTGTTGTCACCCCGGAATTCGCCTCGTGTCACTTCAAGGTGTGGAATCCAGGGCTGGGCTGACACACTACTAGCTCTAAAAATCCGCACACAACCATTCGAAGTGGTCGATTCGTTCACATTTACCCAGGTGACGAGTGTTGATCGCGTTGCTGAAGAGACTACTGAAAATAATTGTTACCAATTATTCTCTACGAATCGCTGAAAAAATTCCATATGATGACTTTTGTTGTGGTTTTTCAGTTATCTATAGAAACCACAGGGTATGTCTTAGTTGATGTTAGGCGGTCTCACTGAGAGTCGAAGACATGATCTGAATGATCGCATTCGCGTAGCACTGAACGAGTAATGCTATGGCGGTTCCGCAATGGGTGTCGAGAATCCAGAACATAGTGTGGAGTGAGCAAAATCTCTCATGTATGAATCATACAATCACTCAGACTCGAGTGCTATTTGTATGTATAGCGGATTTCCCATCCTCGTTGTTTGCCTACGTTCATTGGCCTATCGCTGTGATAGATCCAATCCGAAGCCTGCCCTTCCAAGCGCCACGTTGTGTTTTGTTCTCACTAAGTTAGTATGGGCGGAAAACCAAGTGCATTGGCGTCATTGCGTAGAAAAACACTACTGAAACTGTCATGGGGAATTCCGAAGAGGATTTCGTGGCATTTTAACAACTTTTCCGTCTACATTATCATCACGTTTCAGAACCAAGTGAGTTAAATGGTAGAACAGAAGGCAATACCTGTGCCGCTAGTCGAGGTTCTTGCGCGTGCCGTCGCGTTTGCTGCTGCCCGGGCGAATGTGGTTCGCCCTTGCTTGCGAGCCCAGTGCTCGGCGCTTTTGCTATGTCGAATGGATTCCGTCGCGCGACTCTTTGATCTTTGCGATAGTAGTCAGCTCGCGTAGTCTAGGTTTCGTCGGTCTACCGTCCATCCGTACAGCGTCAGTTTTGCTCATCTGAACGTCTAATGATAAGACCGCTTTTGCCAATAATGAATCAGTGGGAAGGAACCCTGGTACACTTTGTGGAACCGTGCAGAAGACTAGACATTGGCCACTTCAGCGACTAGACACCTTACACTCTCGTGCATTGGCGTGTTGTTTGGTGTTGTGCACCTATCATATTTTCCTATTTCTCCCGCTGTAATTGTGCGTGCACATTTGCTTGCGTACTTCTACCGCTTGTCATGTTTCCTATCATCATCTTGGAAATCCGACGTGCAACCTAATGTCCGGACCGTGATAGATTAGCTGATTTCAAAATGCCTACAGGGACAGCTTAATCGACCAAACGGATGCAACGAACATGAGAACAGTACAAGCACTTAGACTCACCTTGACAACACCCATAACGCTGGTGGTCAGAGCCGAAGTGTAATGCGTACACTGTAGAAGGGAGTAGTTGAGCAACACGGCGGAACAACACGAGAAGATGAAACAAAGCAGAAACAGGGGATTGGACCATTCAGGAAAATTGAACACCTATTGTCAAGGCGGCGTCGGAGGAGGAAAAGATGGGAGAAAATGTGGAGATGGTAAATGGTTTATATAGTAAAGTGACGAAAAATCAAGCGAAGCAGACAACAATAGATCACGACTTTCGCATTGGCAATCATCGCTGCACCATGTTTGAAACACTGCCTGAAGACACAGATTAGCTGGGCATCAACATTTTTCCGGCACTCAGTACCGATGCTTCGCTGCCGCGCAACCATCACCAGTCGCGCGTGCGCTAAGGATACTGCGAGGATCGCTTGGTCCCCTACGCAGGCTTGAACCGTCGAACTCAGATTACGAGGCAGACTTGCGATCCACAACGTCAGTGGCCACCTTGGATGAAGCCTGTGAACGACCTTGACTACCAATGAAGGTCTTGGTGCATTGTATTGGGTAATACTCCAGCTTCACTGAGCTGTGTCACACCGGTGAGAATATACTGCACACACAAAGATAACATGGGTTCCGGGATTCAAGCCCATTCGCTGCAAAAAAGCCAGTTAATGAAGTTTCATCATCAACGCGATCTGTGATTGATCATCTGCGAACGAAATTTCGTTAGTCTGTGCTGCCGTAAAAAAGCAGTCGCATTTCTCCACGCTTGAGTAGCCGCCCATTGTTGATGCCAGCTTGGAGCAATCGTTTGCCTGCGGTTTAGCTCCATACAACTGGTTATTTGCTTATGCAACTGACTGAGACACTGCCCATATCTGGCTGGTGTGACGTGCACACAATGATCTCTTGTCTCTCCGAATGTCCGACAACCATCATGTAAGTTGTGCTACCATTTCACTTGGTTGCAATGCGCACAAGTGCAAAAGCTCGTCTCATACGAGGAATAGCTCTGAGGGCGCAATGAAGGTAGAAACTAGCGTTGTCCACTATGGTTCCGAGGTGTACAAACCATAATACTACGTTAAAACTCAGCGTTCCTTTGAGATTCACTATCTCAGGGATTGGAATAAAACAGAGCTGGAAATGAGACTCGAATCCTGAACGTCGTGGCTATCAGCAATAACACGGATTAAAATACGGCTCAATCGATTCAAATGACCGAAGTGAACCTAAACGGTGGACACAATCCATACACACAAGGGTGTTACACCCTGTACTGCATGTGCCCGGAACCACTGTTGGCGCAATGTAAGTTAGACGCGAACTGGTCCACTCCCTAAAGAGTCTCACAATAACACTAAGCTTTAACATAGTGCGACGGTTTGCGTACCTCTTCGATCCACTGAGCTCTACTGGATGATGACTCCGGACTCCTTGAGAGCTACTTACACCAGGTTGGCCAATGGTTAGAGGTCAGAAAAACAGTCTCCGGACACTCCAGGTTTCGGCTTGAAAATGGGAGAACGTTCATCTCTGTAAAACCAAACCATTGCCACCTCCCCGCTGCCTTGCGAACAGGATTTTGAGCCAAACGCTTTGGTTGAGGACCCTAATCGTTCTCCTCTCTAGGTCTGGACACCCTGGCAGTATGTCAGCCCACGTGCAACCATGACATCCACCTCAAACTTCAACCGCAACCTACATCGGCCGTCGCGTAGCTATAGAAGTTCCTTTATCTACTACATGCACCAGGGCGGATAAGCGAAAACATTCTGCTGCTGATGCATCTCTTCCCAATTTCCGCCTGTTTATCTTATTCTCCTCCCAATTCCCCACTATTAACTTTCCTACCATAATTCTCAGTCGCTGCGATGCAACTACGGTTCTTCCGTCTGCAGCTACCCTCTCACATCACCCACTGGGCGCCTATCGGCAACAGTCCCGTTTCCATGACGAATATTAACGTCAACAGATCAACAGGATGCACTCGCACTCACATTGGACACACTGGGGATTGAGGTATGTTGTGTGTCCGAAACCAGGGTCAATGGTCCTCACGGAGTCGTTGAATTAACTGCGCCCGGCTTATTCTCTCGCTATTGGTTGCACGCATCCGGAGACGCTGATTTAACAACCACTGATCAAACTGGCATGGGTATCCTTCTTAACTACAAGGCTGAATAAACCTTGGTTGATTGAGTTCACGTGAGTAGCCCGTGTGGCGAGATCAGCTAAGGTTAACAAACGAGGTAACACCAGAAGCTAAGTTGGACTTGGAGGCTCCGCTGGTGGTTGGGTTGCTACAAGCAACCTCTATTGAGACCTCGGTTCACTTGAGGTGGACTTCGGTCATTCCGATCACAATGACCGTAAGTAAAATGGAAACATTTTAGTGTTGCTCACCCCAACACTGGCACCCCAAGACCGCGGTTTCGTCCTGGTTGGGACTCATCAGTTCGAGATAGCCTGAGTTGGGCCGGAACTTAGAGTCTAGTGGCTCATGGTTGACACCATAAGCACTATGCCACTGAGATCCACGAGCAACGCTTGGTCCAGCGAGAACGAATGCAAAGTTGGACTTGGAGGCTCCGCTGGTGGTTGGGTTGCTACAAGCAACCTCTATTGAGACCTCGGCTCACTTGAGGTGGACCTCGGTCATTCCGATCACAAAGACCGTAAGTAAAATGGAAACATTATAGTGTTGCTCACCCCAACACTGGCACCCCAAGACCGCGGTTTCGTCCTGGTTGGAACTCAACAGTTGGGGTGCCCGTGTTGGGGTGAGCAACACTATAATGTTTCCATTTTGCTTACGGTCTTTGTGACCGGAATGACCGAGGTCCACCTCAAGTGAACCGAGGTCTCAATAGAGGTTGCTTGTAGCAACCCAACCACCAGCGGAGCCTCCAACTCCAACTTTGCATTCGTTTCCGCTGGACCAAGCGTTGCTCGCGGATCGCAGTGGCATAGTGCTTATAGCGTCAACCATGAGCCACTAGGCTCTGAGTTCCAGCCCAACTCAGGCTATCTCGAACGGATGAGTCCCAACCAGGACGAAACCGCGGTCTTGGGGTGCCCGTGTTGGGGTGAGCAACACTATAATGTTTCCAACACCAGAAGCTGTTTGTGGTTGGCAATTAGGCACCCACCGATTTCAGGTCTGATGTTACCAGGGATGAATTCAACCACGAACTAGCAACGGTGTAGCATCGTAGCTAGTCCAACTATAATTGTAGTTGTGGGGATATGAATGTGTTAGTAGGTCGTCTGAACTCCTCAGAAGTCTAGCAACTAAGTGGTAGGTTTGGGCTCAGCCCCGAACGACAGCGAACGTCGGTAGCACATGTGCGCGGAGCACCGGCTGTAGTTGAACAGCACCACTTTTAGGCACAGTGAGCGTCCAAGTGTCACCTGGCGTCAACCCTTATAGTCGGCTAGAGATGGACCCAGATTGATCACCTTGCCATAAATTACAGATGGCGTGATTCCAGCTGGACTGTCACTTGTTCCAGAGTACATGCGTCGACTCTGATCATGTTTTGGCACGCTGTCGTTTTTGTATGAACTTTGCCGAGGCGTACCAAGCGTCTCTCAGGATTGGCAACTGAGAAGCTATCTCAGTCTTCAGTCAAGCAAACCTACCAGGATGTCTTGGTACCGGATTTTCGCTCTATCGTCCTCATGACACTGAGTTTCAATGGAATAGGATCTTGGCCGCCACATACGGTTGAGATTGCGCGTCGCAATCCATCCACACAACGTGTAAATCAAGAATAACCCTCCAATCAGTCATTAACCGTTGTTCTAAGCCTTGCTCGTCCCGGGTTCGATTCCTGCTATGTATATATGCGGAGACCAAATAAGATCGAAACGCATCTTGGAGTGCAGTGTTTTCGGGCGGGCAACATCAAAGGGTAGTTGTTATAACGGCTCGCTTAGTTGAAGCGAGTGACGCGGTACCCCGCGAGTTCCAACCACGAAGCGAACGGCACGGACTTGTCGGAACTGTTTCCCACTCACGCGCGGCTCGACTCGATGCTCACCACTGACGCACCTGGACCCAAGAGAGAAAGGGAAAACAGGTCTGCGGCCGAACGGTTTTACGATCCGGCAAAAGATAAAGTTTGAGAGCCTAGGGACGTGTATGAACTTCCAATCAGCACAGTCTGCGCAGTCAAACGTGAGAAAGCGTGCGATTAGCGGAACGTGTAGGTGTTTACACGAATGTGAAGAGCAAGTGGGGCGTGGCGTAACGTGCCGGTTCGCTTAAAACCGTGGAGTAAACGGGGACATATCGGCACAAATGAGTTCACGTGAACGCGAATGTCGGTGTGCAACAAGTGAGTAAGCGGAGGCGTTGCTTATTTGAATGGGGCTTATGCGATTTTGTGGGTGTGTGTTTCCCATAACAGGAGTACAATGTAAGCAAAAGGTAATGAAACATGCTTTTCCTTATTTTTTGGAAACCGATTTTGTCTTTTCCGTCATTTCGATGTTTAAAGCAGGAGATATGTGAATCAAGGTAATTCTGCATACGGTTCTTCCACGGATTCCGGTTGACAATCATATCTGTAAGCGTGACGAACCACCGGCCCTCCTCACCCTTGGGTCCCTAGCCATGAAGATGTTCTGATCCATCGGTGGCTAAACATGACATCAGCGATTTCATTTATTGTCGCCAAGTGAAAGGCTGATTCATACGTCTTATTTGGCTTGAACTGACCAGCATGCGGTCCCCTGCAGCCCAACCGTAGATGACTGAATCGGGTGTGGCACGATAAACGCTCAAGCGTCAGACATGGGACCTGACTCAGCCATCTCTATTGGTGCGGCAAAATCAGCTTGTTGAAGGGACGCGAAGTCTAACGTCGTTACTGTGAACTCGGTGTTGCCGCCATAGACGAGCGATCCTCCTCAAATAACCGGTGTTGAAGGCGGAAAGAAAGCGCATGTCCTCCATACCAATTGACCAGGACTCGATCCTATACAACAACACTAAGAAAGCAGAGGCGCTGTAACGCGGCCCTTTACCAAGACGGATGTGCCCTAATGGCGCTCAGTGAAAGACTACTTTCGTTTGATTATGCGCACGATACTTTTTTGCTGTTTTAAGCTAGTCTCCCTAGAATGATCCCATAACTTGGCGGGCGCTTTGCATATTCAAAATGCAGTGTTGTTGCAGGATCACCAAACAATCGGTGATCCTTTGACCCCTGAAACGAGGAACTTCAGGTAGATGATCAATTTACCTACTTTTTCAGCTGCATCAGAAGCAATAGACGCATAACCACTGACGTTAGCTCACGTATTGTGAAAGCTAGGGCTGTCTTCTTAAACTTGTGGCTTCAGCAGATTGCTCTCGGTCTGAAATGCCGTGCGTCCAAGGCCACAGTAAGGGACGTTCTACTCTATGAAAATGTGATCTGATCCCTTCGATCGCCTTTAGTTCACTTTCTCATCGTCGCCTACGGAGCATTGCCCGCGCCGACACCGACAACGGTATGTCAATAACGATGGTGTGCGCAGGTGAGTGCTAGGCAGTGATAATGCCAGTTCTTTAAAACAACAGGTAACGCTGGGCGAGGACATTGCCGTTCACTCCGAAACATCGTTTTTTCGCACTATCTACTGCGAGCATATCAGTTTTATATGAATATCTTGATGAATTCTTTGGCTGAACAATATCACTGTGGGCGTTGAACTCCGCTGTTTCTTTGAAAAACTCTCCAGAACACCGCGCACAACTTACAATTTGTTACTTTCGCCTAAACGAAACCAACTGTCAAGAGAGGTGTTAACAAAACCTGGTCTCCTCAACCGGACAAAAATCATTACAACTTTTAATCAATATGCAATCGTTGCTCAAACGTGCGGGAGTGTTTACTCGAACGACATTTGTGCACCCTTTTACCATTTTGCTTTTATGAAAATTTCTATATTGAATGGTACCGTTTTAGCTCATTTGTAATAATTAACGTAGCATGCTGAAAATGCAGCCATCCAAGTACGTGAAAGCTTTTCTTGATTTGATTACACTGCGATTACCAAAGAGGAGAGCCATGTTTTGTTTGTACATAGTTCCTCGCAGTCGGATGTAGGGTTCCGCAAGGGTCGAGGTGGGCAAAAGTTAATTTGACAGCAGGAAATGGGGTCAATGACGACCGAACGAAGTACTGTTTGTTCGTCTCATCTTCCCGGTTGAAATCCTTGGCTCGAGACGTTACAAGATATGGGTCGAAGTCAGCACCCGTGACGCGCCTGCTGTCGTCTCGAAGTCGGATTGTCTGTTTAATGTGTGTTTGGTGCTAAGTTATCTACAGAATAATGGCTAATTATGACGAGCGGCAGTGAAAGCCGCAAGAAAGCTTCCTCATCGATGCTGCCTTCTCCTTGCATGATAGCTAGCGGTTTGTGACGGTGTGTTGTTGTTAAGGTGTAGGCACCTTAACTTTGAATGTTTGCTAAGGATACTAGGGTTTTATGCTGAGTCCCACTTCTTTCCCTGTTAATATACTTCGCTTCTCAGACCATTGCGGTTGTACGGCAGCGAAGCATCAGTCCAAATGGCTGATGTACTGCTAATGATGATGATCCCCATGGAGTTTCATGCGCTGACTGTTTGCATGCAGTCACTGGCAAACTTCGAACCCAATGTACGTACGCGTCAAAGCAATCTGAACCGGGAAACAGAGCAGATTAGCATAGAGCGACAGGAACTTACTTCTGGCAGGTCTGTTTGGACGCACACGATCAATAGCAAGAAAGGAATCATGAGACCGGAATTGTAGTAAAGCAATTCGATGCTGGAGAATCCCTGATCCCTGAGCCGTGATTTGGTCAGCAGTGCTTTAGACGCAGTGCTCACATTGTTCACTAGTACGTAGGCATACCCGATCGGGTCGAAGGTGATGTCACTTCTGCGAACGAAACAAAGCGAGAGGGTTAAAGAGAGATTAAGGGATTGGGCGGGGGGGATTGGCACACACTTACATCGCGGCGATCACAGCTCCGAACACCATGGCATTCACGGATCCGTACACCGATGCTGTTCGTACAATGCTGAGAAGGGAAACGGCAAATGTTTCGAGAGAGCAGTATGGGTGATAACGAAGTGAAGTGGATTCTTCTAACAACCAAACTACACCCATCTGGAATAACGCCGGAGAGCCGTTTTTCTCATATATGGACTTATCAGCAGCACACTCTTCCTCGAATCCTTCAGGCCACCGGGTCACGTGGACGACAAGTGACCGACTTGTGCGGTCGGTCGCTCACGTGACTAAACTAGTACCTGTGAAGCAGCGCGGTACATTCAGTCACATCCGAATAACAGGTCATTGACCAAACACTAGTGTACAGTTCCGTGTAAAAAATCGATTCATCGTAGACAGACGGTGTGTTCCGTGAAGATAATTTAGCAAAAACGACCAGTGTATTTGGGCTCTAAATCGTTTCAACCTATGCTGTTCGGTCGCTCCCATATATAACAACGTTGTTGGACAGATGAGGTTCTTGCCGGCTGGTGGCCTAAAGGATCAAAAGCCTGCCTTGTAATCCGATGGCCCGGGTTCGACCCCGCGCAGGCGCCCGGGCGACGATCGCAGTATCTTCAGTTCACGAGCGAGGTGGTAGCGAAGCGTCGGTAGGGCATACCGACGTACTGCTGATGCGCCATACACTGAGACAGTGAAACATATAACCGGGAAGTTCACTGTAGTGCAGCAATAACGCCGACCAATCAGTTGACTTCCAATAGGTCAGAGACTGGGTGACACATCCTATGGCCAAATCTGTTATATTCGCGTTTCCAGTGAATGACTGCGTTATCCCCCAGCTTCATCTACTTATCTCTATTGCACGCTCCAACCGCAAAATAGTTGGCCATTTGGCGAGGAAAGATGTGTCTTTGATAACGAAACTTCCTCTAAAAGCGACTTCACGTATTGCGGAGGTTCATTCAGAGGTGATTAAACAACGGAATTACAACCTTAAAACTGTATACGCGACGACGAAACGGGTAGATTTGCCAGACCATTCAAATAGCACGGTCTTTCAGCGGCTCATTTGCCAACTGTCTGTTCTAAGTAAAATCCTGATAACATTCAACAGCAAACCGGAAGCCCACAAACAATGCAGCTCTGTGCGCAACATACGTCAAGATCTCGACAAAATACTGTGGGCTAAACAGTAAGGAAACTATCTCCGAAAAAACAGAGGCATAGAAATGCCTGTGAGACACAGGATGCAATCACACTGATCTCAGCGCACGTGGAGGAAAGCGGACATAGCTTCGACTACACCAAAACAAAAAGCCTGATGCACAGAGAAACACCGAACGTGTGGGATTGGTTCCTCGAAGCATAGCATGCCATGAAGAACTATATAAACATGCACGTCGGTGCCGATCACGAAGTGAAAACTTATGCTTGCAGCCAAACCCCAAGCAGTGTGACAGAGCAACACCATGTGCAGCTCCAGTAAGCGCACTTTAAGCACCGTGCTTCGATTGCACAAATGAAATTGCTAGTAGCCCCTTGAGACGGTGACAACAAATCCAAAACCGACAGCTACGGAAACTCCTAAGCCAAACCTTGAATGCGTAACAGCCAACGGATCTCAATGGCCTAGTGATCAATGCGTCAGCTGTTAACAGTTAGACCTCAAGTTTCACAATTATTTGTGGTTATGATAATAATAATAAGTAATAGGTATATTTCTCATCGAGTGAGAAACTGTGGTCATATTTTACAGAATATATCATGCCCATGCATGGATCGTAAACAGATGTGTGATTTTGATAGCTTTTGCTGTTTCAACGGTCTGTATTAACTCACAGGTACGTTTCAACGCAATGTGCACTAGTTGGAATAGTGGATGATAACAGCAGTAGGGATGTCACACAGTTTCGCTCATTAGATGTTGTCTGACTCTTCTTGGTACAAATCATCAAGTAATCTCTACCAAGAGAACAGGGTCATAACCGTGTTCAAATCTAGGTACTTGATGAGTTTAACGCGAATGACCGCCTCGCTCTCACACGATATGATTACGACTGGGAGTTTATTCTACAGGACAGCATATCTGATAAGGAAAAAGTTCGACCGCACCTGGGTACACTCAGGATAAACTCTTTATTGCGTAGCTCCCTTGTCGAACTATGTTGTACTTCTAGGGTGGGCAAATAGCAGTGGGCGTTTTGGTGAATCATGTTGTACAGAAACATCAGGTTGTCTCAATCTTCATAGCCAAAGCGGATCGCGTTGGAATTGCTGCCAGCGTTCCCGATTGTTCTTATCGGATATTCTGCCTAGCAGACGTTTGGCAAATAACCTTTGTATGCTTTCTAGAGATACTCTGTCAGATTTCCTCATGCTGTCACAAATGATACTGCAGTATTCCGAAATGGGGCGAGTGGGGAATTTGAAGAGTTCTACTCTGGCTTGAGTTATGTGGATCTCATGTAATATATTAGCTATTGTAGATGCAAGAATACGTGATTCCGAGGTCGCGAGTAGACACAAAGGTGTTCCTCGTTGAGTATAATTGATCCCTCAGGTATCGAACAGCCGCGATACATGATGCTAGATTTTTTCGCCGAGAACTTCATCGTCCAGGGGTCACACCATTTCCCAAGCGAGTGGAGGTCTTCCTGTAAGAGCAGTAGTGGATCTTGAAGTTCAGCTCGTCGGAATTTGTAGGCTATCTTTATGTCATCTGCAAATAGGAAAGGCATGCCATGACTGATAACCGCACTGATGTCACTGACGTAGAGCAGGAGCAGTAACGGACCAACTACACTCCCTTGTATAACACCACTAGTGATTGGACGTGGTGAAGATTGGTGGTTGACTATGCTAACTACCTGAGAACGGCCGCTAAGGTATGACAATAGCCAACCTAGGAACGGAACCTGGATTCCAAAGTAAGCAATCTTTTTCAGCACTCGATCGAATGCCTTTTTCATATCCAGGAACAGAAGTATGATTGCGTATCCTGAGTCCGAAACATGGTTCGGATAATGTACTTGACAGGTTATGCACGATCGTTTGTCCAAAAATCCGTGCTGTGACCTGTCTATTAGCTTCAGCGAATTGATGAATTTCATCACACCAATCTTAACCAGTTTCTCTAATACTCTGGCTACTACAGGGTAATTGTTAATTTCTTATATGGAGCCACCCTTGTGACGAGGAATCATGAGCGATGTTTTCCACTGGTATGGAAAGTAGATTGATTCCAAAGAAAGGGTACACATGCCCAGCAATAGTAACGGTATGTCAAGTCCTCCCAGTTTTATGACGGCAGGTGGGATACAATCGGAATTCAGATGGAAAGACGGTTTGGTAGAATTCATTAGATGATGGATAGTAACGATAGTAGCCAGAGCGTTGGTTGTTTGAACCATTACCTGAACAGTCCAAAAGAGGACAAAATCGTCCGCTGGGTATCAGCGCTGTGAAAGAGCAATACCGCTTGATCCCTCCCTCTAATCTCAAGAACGCTTACAAGCACTATAGCATTTACCGCAAAGTTGCATAAAAGGTCCAAAATTTTGCAAAGAATGCGCAAAATTTGCAAAGAAAGTCAAACATTTTGCAAAACCCTGCGCGATTCGCTAGCCGCTAAGAGCCAACCCTCTGACCTTAAGTGTGTTCTCATTGGCCGGATGCCAAGATTCGGTGCGTTAGTCTGGGGAGCTGAGCGCGCTGCCCGTTGACTGGGTGAGACTTGTGAATGAACCTTAGAGGCATGCACTTCGGCGATGCAATGGGCTTGTATGCGCCCCCTCACGTCCGAAACGGTGAATCACAATTGGTCTGAGAGCAATGAACAGCTGGAACATAAGCGCACGACCGAAATCATGTCTGTGATACTAACGTCCTCGGCATGCGTTCTCGCGTTCGACGGAGTATCTCATCAGACATTCGTGACCGAGTTTTGGGCGCCTTCGTCAACGGTGATGGCTGGCAACTGTGAACAACATCAAATATCAAACAGCCTACTCCTGGATTCGTCGTTCTCTTGATCAGGAGCCGAGTACTACGCAGGCGCGCGGTCGTAGGCGGATTCTTTCGGAGGAAGACGTAGATGACATCCTGGATTGGATCGCGAGGGACTCAACTCTTACGCTACGGAAAATGCGAGTACGATGACGAACAGAAATGGACAAGGACATTTCGAAGTCAACAATCGCACGGCACCTGGATGGTCGATTGATAACTATGAAGAACATCTATCAGGTTCCCGAGGGAATGAACAATGAGCGAACCAAAGGAATACGCAGGGAATTCGTTCAGCAGTTTCTGCAACTTGAGAGCGATGGCAAGTTTTTCATTTGGATTGACGAAGCGAACTTCAACGTTTACTGCAAACGTACTCGTGGTCAGGCGTCCAGAGGAGTGAGAGCCTGTTGCAAAGTTGCAAACAGTAGAGGCCTCAATTTGCATTAGATCGGTGCACTCCCAATGAAAGGGAAAGTGTCGATGACCACCCGGAGAGGCTCATTCACAGGTCCCCTATCTCTCGAATGGCTGTGAAGCTATTTAGACAACCTGAAACGGGAGATGCAGCTCCGGCAGGTTGTCGTGGTATGTGATAATGCACCACGTCACACACGACTGGTAGAACTGTTATCAGTAGATCGATATGAGGGAGTAACCATACTGAGATTGAGCCCATACTCACGGTTCCTCAATCCGATCGAGAATGTTTGGCAGGTGGTGAAGGCCAGAGTGAAGAATGAGATGAGAGTGCACTACGAGACACTTCTAGCCGGGGATCCCCAGAAACTCATGACGCAGATGGAATGAAGGCTGCAGCTCCTTGAACGCATTGCCGGAGCAGCCACCAAGGATATCAGCGTTGTGGGATGTCGTAATGCTATTCGACGCATGCGTGTACATTTTCCTAATTGTTTAGAAAAAATGACATGTTTTGATCACGTTGTTCGCCTATTTTTACGTATCTGGTTGTATAGCACGTCACTAGCAGCACGTAGGGACGTATGAGTATTCACAATGTTCTCAAAATATGTATGCACATACGTAAGTTTGTGTGTT